TTTGGACAAATACGGTTGGTGCAATCCTAGCTAGCACTGGCTGGGGTCTCGCTGGAGGGGCCTTCGCAGCTGGGCTAGGCCCACGTGGGGAGTGAGAACCCTTCGGTCACCACCCCTACACCGGCCCCCAGAAAAGACGGGGGACCACACTCCCTTCCCTTTGGCTTCTGGGGTGGAGCACCGGGGCTCCTGGGGAGACCGGTTAGTCCTATCTCCATTGAAAGGAAACACGTGGTGTCTATGGTGCAACATGGGACAGTCTCTCCAATCACCAGGTCTCAGGTCCCTTCTCCGGAGAGAATAGCAAGCGTGGCTCTAGCTTGCTGTCCGTTCTGTGATTGGCTGCGCTTACAAAACCACTCCTCCTGAAAGCAGCAACGGTTGCCATCTGCTCTGTGATTGGCTGCGTCTCCGAAACCACTCCTCCCGAAAGCAGCGGAGCTCTCTGGGTCCCCAGGGCACGCAGGGTTCCTGCTCTCAGGACTCGTGGCACTAGGGCTTTCCGGAGAGCTCCCTGCCAGGCAGAGTGACCCAGCTGGCTCCGTGCCTCTGTTGTCAGAATCCTGCAAAGCCGCCCAGCTAAAAGCGCGGCTCGCTTACGCCTCTGCACCTTTGCACACCCGGGTTCCTCTACAGGGAATGCCCTCTCCCGTCCTACCCAGATGGTCGACTCCTTACTCGTTGTCAAGACCCTGCTCAAATGTCACCTCCTCCAGGAAGGAGGCCCTGCCTGAGCTCTCTGGCTGGGACAGAAGTCCCCTTCTGAACACCTGGGGTCCGGCTCAGCCAACGTGTAACTGTGTTTCCCTAAGGGAAGCCAGGCCTCCCGCCATGGCCATGCCCCTCGGCTTGGGGAATGCAAGGAACCAGCGGGAAAACTCAGAGGGCAAAGGTCTCGTGTCGCAGGGCAATGTAGACCCCTCAGACACCTGAAGCCTGCTGGTGAAGGAATTGTGTTCTGCTTGGAGCGGCCCTCCATAGGGTAGACTGCCCGCGTCTTACAGGGATGCCTTCACAGGGCGGCTCCCAGCAGAACTCTAGCAGGTAAACGTATCTTTGGAAAAAGGGATTCGAGGGTAGCACTGGGCCTCAAAGAGGCAGCGGGGTGTCACTTTCAGAGTCGGCCACAACTGGGCTTGAATCCCAGCCACGCTGCTCTTTTCTTCAAGTCGCTAAGCAGACCTGCTGGCTACAGCTTGGACCTGGGGCCGCCATCATACCAGACAATACCTGCCTGGATGTGAAGAAAGTCAAGTGGAGAAAGGCAGGTCCTACTCACACTGTGGCCCCTAGATCCAGCCACACCTGAAGCCAAATACCTGTCATCTTCTCAGTTACCGTTAGCTAACCAATGTTCTTTTTGAATTATCTATCTTGACTGGCTTTCTGTCATCTGCAGCTAAAACAGTTCTGGCTAAAACAAGCTCTCATGGTCAGAAAGTAGCAGCATTGGGATGAAAGCCCAGGGTCCTACCCACTCCATGAAACTGGCATCATCTCCTGCTCTAAACTAGGCCAATTCCTGATTCTCCCAGCAGCCGACATTTGCGCAGGGCTTGACAGCCCAGAAACTGCTCTTGATCACATCATCACTTCAAAAAAAACAAACAAAAAAACCCCAAGAAATTCAGATAGACTTCATGTACCATGGAACTCACCCTTTAAAAGTATACACTTCAGTGGTTTTTAGTCTCCTTACAAGGTTGTGCAACCATCCCCACTGTCTAATTCCAGAACATGTTTATCACCACAGAGATACCAGCACTCATCGGCCTCTCCCAGTCCCGGCCCCTCCCCCCGGTCCCAACTCCTGGCAACCACTAATCGGCTCTTTCTCTCTGCGGGTTTGCCTCTGCCCGTCACACATCAGCACTTTTAACTCCACAGGACCCTTGTGAAGTAGCCACTAGACAGCAGGGCGCTGGACAGCAGCGTGGCTGAGACTGGGGGCTTCGGTGTGACCTGCCAGCTTCACACCACGTTCTCATGCTCTCTAGCTGTGACCTAGAGCAAATGACTCAGTTTCTCTGCATCTTGGTTTCTTCATCTGTATAATTCCGTAAGTTTTTTGAGGATTGAACAAGTCACCACACCTAAATGCTGAGCAGTCCGTGTTCCAGGAAGGCCAGCTCTTTCTAGTACCATCATCCTGCGTCACTGATGAGGGCAGTCAGGCACAGAGGGGTTAAGGGGTGTGCCCAAGGCCACACAGCCCAGGTGGCTGGGCCCCAAGTCTCCTGACTTTTTCCATTACACCACACTGGCTTAGCTGTTCCTCCACGAAAGCTTGGCCCTCCCCAGACTCTTTAAGCCAAGTTACTTCTGCAAAAACCAAGGCTACTCGCCAGACAGGAGGGAGGGGAGGCTGGGATCATGAAATCATCTAGCTCTAGGGTGCCACAGCCACACACAGGCTGGCCTCCGCCGGGTCCTCAGAACAGCTGACTCTGGGTCCTGCCCTAACTCCTTCCAGCATCGCCCTCGGGGCTGTGGGGGTGGAAGGCAGGCCATTTCCAGGACAGCAGGACCCTCTGGGAATTCCATGACTTTCCCACACCAGCTGCCCATCTGGGACTCCTTAAAGGGGCCGAAGCCCTGTCTTTGGAAGACTTTGTTTCAGGAGGGCAGTCCGAGGCAGTTACTGATGTTCCAGCAACCCCGCCATCATCACCAAGTGTGCTGAGTGGGCCAGAAAGCCTCCCTCCTAAGTTCTGGTCGAAATGAGAAAGTTGAGTCAGAGCAGGAGAGTGGAGGGAGCCCAGGCTTTGGGCCAGGGAGCCCCGTGATCCTGCCTCGGCAAACGTTCCCAAACAATGTCACCCTGGGCAAGTCCCATCTGAACAGAGGGACAGCAGATGACAGCTGGCATGCTTACAGAGAAAGGTACGACTCTGTCACACCAGATGCATGAGGAAAGTGCTTTCACCCTTAACGTGCAGAGGGGGAAGCTGAGGCTCTGAAACACACGGAGGCAACACCGAGCTGAAAGCTGGAAGCAAAATGCTGAGACTTGAACCCAGGTCTGCAGGACCCCAGCAGTCAAGGTCTGAGGCCCTGGGCTATCCTGGAACAGGAAGCTGATGACACAGTCAAGTTCCTCCTGGTCTGCCATTTCCCTGCGTGCTTCTGGGGCCTCCTCCCCACGCCTCTCCTCGAACCTACCCCTTGGCTCAAGCTGTACCAGTGACCTCACTTCTCCAGCCACAGCTGACAAGCTCAGAGTGGACCCTGATGCAGGACAATCTGCTTCTCAGTCCCGGACACCGGAATCTGCTGCCTGGGGGATGTGGGCCGACAGGCAAGTGGAGGAAGCTGGTCTACAGAGGTGGTTGGGAAAAGGAAGCAGGCTCAATGGCAGATCCTGTGGCCACAGTGACCCTGGCCAGGGAGCTGCCCGGCCTCCTTGAACCAGACCGTCTGACTGTGTTACACAGTGAACACATCACTAGTTCATTGCACCATAAAAACGTAGGTACCTGGTATCTCCATTCCTTCACGTTATGCGGTGACTCTCAGCAGTTAGGTAGGCACTGGCGATTGTTTTAGTGGTAACTGCTGAGGAGTGTGTTCTTATCTCCCCGCCTCTCTTGGAAATAATAGACCACAAGCCCTGAAAACCCTGTTTGACAGTTTCAGGAGCAGAGGAGGTCCTATGGCTAATATCACCCAAACTTCCGAGAGCACAGGTGAGGCAAGGGGTCAGGCTGGCATGTGGAGGGCGGGCTGTTTTCTGCCGGCCCAGCAGTACCTCCTGTACCTGGGATCCCAGCTGTTCTCTCCTGGTCTCGGCCTCCACCCCCCACCTGTGGGGACAGAGCAGGGACCCAGATAAGCCCACCGGCAATCGCATTCCTCAATTATCTCGAGGCTGAGAGGAGCCTATGAAACACAACCCCGTGTCTGCTGGAGCATCTGGGAGGTGACCTTTCACTCTTTCCAGCTCAGTGAGTCTGCCTAGAGCATTTCGCGACCACGTGGGATCTGAGAACAAAGCCAATATGATGGAAGCAGAGATGCAGAATGAGAGGAAGAAACAGGGTGAAAGGACACAGTGAAACATGCTGGATCAAGCTGTGCCTGAAGCCCACAAGGTTTCTTCTCCAGGAACATTCAGTTACACCAGCCAAAAAATCCCCATTCACTTAAGCCGGTTTGGGCTGGGTTTCTGTCGCTTGCACCTGAAATGTCCTACCTGGCACACAGAGGATAGCAAGAGAGTCAGCTCAGGGTGAGGGTGAGTCCCTCACTACACAGCAGGGAGGACTTGACGGTTCAGGAAGCCAGGCAAGTTCCTATCTCCTCCTGAGGCCTGTGTTTTTAGAGAACTTTATCATGTCGTATTAGGCACTGTGACTTCTGTCGCAGACACTCTTGCTTTGAGTTGCTGGCCTTTGGTGACATCAAGATACAGCTACTGGCCCACATTATAGTTCTCTGACCCCGGTGCCCGTGGGATTGCACGGAGCTGGCCACATTCGCAGGCACCCTATTGGACTGGTGGTGCTCCTGGTTGCTAGTTCATTCATTCACTCATTCATTCATTCACTAAACATGACTGGAGACATCTGTGTCCTTGAATAAAACACAAGTTCAAGATCTGCACTCCAAAGCCATCCAGACTTCCAGACGGGGCCTCACTCTGGAGCAGTCAGCAAGGCAGCCTTTCTTTAATTTGGAAAATGCTGACCACGAAAGCATAAAGCAAGGAAGCACATTACTTAGGTCCCCAAAGGAACGGATGTTTCTGAAAAACAAAACTGAATTCCCCACAAATGTGCATGTCACCCATGTACAGGAGCCACGCCAATCATTTCTATATTCCAATTCTAGTATATGGGCCGACGCGAGCACACGGATGTCATTTTTAATTGTAGGAAATAAAAAAAGAACACTGTCCGTCCAGGGGGAAGGGGAGGGTCTGGGCTCTGAAATCCAGACTGGAAAGTGGGTCCAATTACAGTCCTTCCCGCCCGCCATCACTGGAGATCCGAAGGCCTTACCTGGAGGTCGAAGAACTTGCTGTAGCGCCGGTAGATGGCCTCCGTGGAGCCGCTGGACCATGTGACCCGGATGATGTAGACCTGCAGAGAGGGACAGAGGACACAGGAGTTACAACCAAGGGAGCCTGTTCCATCTCCAGGACTCGGGAGCAAAGGACAAGGCTCAGAGTCATGATGACCTGGGTTGGAATCCCGGCTCTTCCGCCAACCAGCTGTACGACTGGGAACACGTTACTTGTTCTCCCCGAGCCTCAGCTTCCTCCTCAGGAAAATGGGTATGACTACCTCTCCTTCTGAGAGTTGTGGGTGAAAGAAAATTCTGGGAAAGCACTGGCACCCTGCTCATCCCAGGAGGTGCTGCGGTTTTCGCTGGGAAGGATCTCTTGCTCCCCACAGGTCAGAGAGCCAGGGGGCTGACTACTTATTTGGCCAGAGTCATTCTCAAAATTCTGTTGCCAGAAGTCACAGGGAACTGCAGCTCTTGGCCTCCTCACGCTTCGCCCAAACTAAGCCACATCACTATCTCCTCTCGCCGGGGTCCGGGTCCAGGCCTTCTCTCCCTCCGAGTGCCAGTTTCTCCACCTGTGAAATGGACCCCCGGCACCTGCTTAGTGTGACGCAGTGAGGATCCGATCTGATTCCAAAGGCGGCACCACTTTATAAACCACAGGACCACGTTCCAACCGTTGTCACAGGTTGGAACCATACCGCAAATGACATCGATGACGAATGCAAGCAAACTGGGATGGCAGCAGCAGGATCCGAGGCACATTGCTGGGGACTCTGGTGGGCTTGGGGGGCCCCTCCCCCACACTCAAAGGCTGCGATTGGCACCCCCATCACCCAGTCCTGGCTGGCACCACCATCTGTTGTTGCAGGGTGCTTTTGACAATAACAGAGTAGGGGCGGGGCAAAAGTAGGTTTATAGCTGTGAGCATGCAAAACAGTTTACGCTTATATTGTATTACTTATTAATTACTGTATTATTCTCCATATGAACAACTGTAAACCTAATGTTGCCCCGCCCTGTATGTAGGGGAAAGCTCTCTGGAAGCAGAGAGATGCTGTTCAGACATGAACTGTGTTGTCAGAGGCCCTGGGGGTGCACAGGCCGGCGCCTGCCCTCCCCAAGCCAAGGGTTAGCGGGACAGAAACACACACGTAGACGAAGATAAGTAACACGCGGCCGTATGATTAACCTTCCTCCAACCAGGGCACTTTGACTTTCCTCTGGGAACCTCCTTCCCACAGTTCCTTAGATACAGAGGCGGGCACTATTCATCAGCCATGGTGATTAGCTGGAGGGTGAGCACATGACCTGTGCTGGGCCAATCAGAGCCAGTAAGAGTCAGCCCTGGGACTTGGGTTCCAACCCTCAAGAAAGAGGCCCAAAAAAGAACATACCAAAGGTCCTCCATCCCTGGGGGATGTTTAAGCAAAGTCTGGATGGCCACCTACCTGTCAAGAACAATGCCAATGTGGATTAAAGAAAAAAGAGGGGAAAAAAGGGAAAGATCATTTAAGATTTTATTTTGTCTTACAACCAACCAAAAAGCCTACATCCATAAATGGGGGGAAAAAACCTCTGCTTACACGATTCTTGATCCCTTGTTTACGGTTTTTAATGAGCTGTACGTACAGTCCAGAACGATGCGGCAGGTCTAATTGGATCATTGGAACCAACCTCTAAACTTGAACTTGAGTCGCATTCTCATTGGCTTCTGAATGAGAAGTGTCCCTGTGCAGCTCTGCTGCTGGGCAAGACTCACAAGGTGCCAGCCTCTTCGGACACGGTGTGCCTCTCTCTCTAACTCGGGGACAGTGACCTCCCCTGAGGACTCACTTCAGTGACTGACGTACACGCCCCGCTCGCCCTGGTAGCCCTGGTCTGGTGTTCCTCCTTATCCGGTACCCACCCCCCTTCTTTTGGTAACAGCACCAGATTTCTTTGGAGGATCACCTCTGACCCACTCTGTCCTTGTTGCCTCTGTGAAAGGGAGTGGGCACATGTCCCAGGGCTGGCCAACCAGAGCACTGCCTGAACCTGGGCCAGCGAGACTATGCTGGGACTCTGGGTGGCCTGACAGGGAAAGAGACCCCTCGCCCACTTCAGTGGCTGCAGGAGTTACCAGGTGGGAAGCATCTGGACTCAGGAGCAAGCAGAGTGCAGGGGGTGGAAGGGCTGAGTCCCGTGACATCATCACAACAGAAGCCCAAACTCTTCCTTTTGTGTTTAAGCCCCTTTGAGTTCCTTTGTTTCTGTTCCTCGGGGACCAAGGCAACCCAGGCTTTGAGATGATGTCCCAGATCCACGCTTCGAGGACAGATGAGGAAGAAACCAGACCCCAGGCGGTCAAGCCCTCGAAGCCATGATGCCTGGGGTCTGTGGGAAGGGAGCTGAGCAACGTTCCATGTCGCGTCCCCCCTCTTGCCTGTCCTCTCTGCTTCTGTCCCCCAGCCCCTCCCAGACTAGGGACTCTCAGGGGGCGGCTGGGACTGCTGTTCTCTGGGAGTGAGGAAGTGCAGAGCCCACACTGGTGTCTGGGGGCCACAGGATCTTCCCCCTGCTCCCCGACCCGAGGCTCCGATCAGGAAATGGCCACGGTTGAAATCACTTCTTACGCAACCTTAGCACGCAGCTGGTGTGCTTCACCAAGTCCAGACTCCTCAGGCCTCGGTCCCCCCAGGGCCCAGTGTCCCCAGGGCCAGGAGTCCTGGGTCCCTCCACTTCCTCTAAGTCCTTGGGGAGATGCAGTGGTGGAGACAGGTGGGCTGTGGGGTGGGGCTGCGGGGGAGAGGCGGGCCAATGACCAGGAGATCCCCACGAACCTGCAGGCTAACGTGGCCCAGTTCTCCTAGTGACGGACGGGGGCTCAGCAGTGCAGGGACTTGCCCGAGGTCACAAGTTACGAGTGCAGAGGACCTGACCCAGGTTACCTTGCCGGCCTTGCCACCAGGGCATCACGCCCCCACCGCAGCAGCTGGCCACAGCTGGCCACAGCTGGCCACTGCTGGCCTGGGGCCAGTGAGGAGATGCCTGCTCATTCTCTCGTTCTGAGAGCATGCTGGTGCTCTGTGGGGTTCAGGGGTTAAGAAGGCCTGGATTCTGCTTCCAGAATCCAGGTGTGGTCAACTGGCTGTATGGTCTTGGGAAAGTGGCCTAACCTCTTTGCCATATAGCTTCTTTCTCTGTAAAAACTGGGGAATGTAGTAGTTCTAACCTCCGATTTGGGGTGACAAATGAGAACACGCATGTACAGGGCTTAGCACGGTGTAAAGGGAAGCTATTGTCATCCTCACCACTGTGAGCCAAATGCAAGTCCTTAGAGCTGAGGGAGACCTCGTCTCTGCTCACTGCCTCTACAGGTGAGCGTCCCACAGCCACCCACCTGTCCCCATGGGGGTACAGAGGGGCTGCCCTCCATGGTGCTGGGTACGCAGGCCCAGGTCATCTGAGCCTGGAGCACAAGTTCTTGAGCTGCCGGAAGACTCAGCACCTGTCCTCTCCCACCCCGACCCTTGGGCTTCAGCCGGAGGAGAGGGGAGCTCCGTGTCTGGTCCAAATGCCAGGTGTCACCACATGGTATCAGGACCTCGCCTGCTCTGGACTTCCTGCCTGGGGTGAGGACTGTCCCTGAGTCCCAGGTCAGTCTGCCTTTGCCAGAAGACCACAGAGAAGATGGAGAACCCCACCTGCTCATGCATGGCGTTCGGTGTCCTGCGGCCTGAGCCACAGCAACTCCTGTCCTTGGGCCTCCAGAAACCCCTTTCTCCAACTCACACTGCTTTCAGAAGACAGAAAAGAAAAAAAAAAGACTCCTGGCAGGTGCCCAGAGTCCACCATGGACCCCTCCACTTCAGAAATGCCACCAGTCCTGCCTGTCTCATGGCCACTGCTGACTAGCCCAGACACAGCTGCCTGATCCAGGTCGGCCAATCAGTTCTTCTCAGGCGTCTGGAATCAGGCCTGAGCACGCTGGCTCCATCCAGGAGGATGGCTGCAGTCGGGACACCTCTGTACTTTGGGACAGACACGCAGCCTGCAGAGAGGCAAGGAGAGCCCTCCAGTTCCTGTTTCCAGGGCCTGCCCACCCACCCGTGGCTTCTATGACGCACGAAGAGGGCCTGGGCTTTCCTGTTAATTCCCCTTTGGGCGTGACGAGGGTTTTTGTGTAACTACTAGAATTCCGTGATGTACAGGAGGAAGTTCAGGCACTACAGCAGGTAAAAAAGATGGGCTAAAGAATCCTAAAACATCAATATCAAAGAACCCGTGCACCACAATGTTCATAGCAGCACAATTTACAATAGCCAAGACTTGGAAGCAACCTAGGTACCCATTGGTAAATGAATGGATCAAAAAATTGTGGTACATATACACAATGGAATTCTATGCAGCGAAGAGAAAGAAGGAGCTACTACCCTTTGCAACAACATGGATGGAACTGGAAAGCATTATGCTGAGTGAAATAGGCCAGGTGTTGAAAGACAAATACCATATGATCTCACCTTTCACAGGAAGCTAAACAACAAAACAGACAAGCAAGCAGAAAAAAAAACCAAAGACACTGAAATAGAGAACAAGGGGACAACGACCACAGGGGAGAGGGAAGGGAATTTAAGGGGGAAAAAGGGGGAGGGATTTGGAGGAACAAATAGGAAGGACACAGGGACGAGAACTAAGGGGGGTGGAAATGGGAGGGAGGTGGGGAGCAAGGGGCGGGGGAGGCTGGGATGGGAAAAATAGACAAAAAAACTGTACTTGAAAAATAGCTAAATAAAATTTAAAAAAAAAAAGACTGGCTAATGCAATGTAATCTCAATCTCAAAAAAATATATACGTTGCACCTAAATATGAGTGTTTGCATAGTTACCTTCTATAAACTCATCCTGAACCCTAATTTAGTGAATACTGGACCACTGCTTCTAGGGGAAATAGGAGGTTAGGTTCCTATGAGCTTCTGGTTACATTTTTGTCACAGCCTTGCGTGTTTCTGATTAAAGAAACCTTATTTAAAGTACGTTAATTCACGAACATGGAACTCACGGCCAGCGGTACTCTAAGCCACACCTGAATGAAG